GGCTTGTGCCTGTAATCTCAGCATGAGGTGGGTGGATCACGAGGTTACGAGATTGAGAGCATCCTGACTAACATGGTAAAACCCCATCTCTGCTAAAAATACAAAAAATTAGCCAGGTGTGGTGGCACTCACCTGTAGTCCCAGCTACTCAGGAGGCTGAGGGAGGAGAATCACTTGAACCCAGGAGGCGGAGGTTGCAGTGAGCCGAGATTGGGCCACTACACTCCATCCTGGAAAGCAGAGCGAGACTTTGTCTCAAAAAAGAAAAAAGAAAAAGAAAAAAAGAACATCCTGCCACTCATTATAATTGTAACCTCAACATAGACAGAACCCACTGGTGAGGTCCTAAATCTCATATGCAGATGCAGTCCACAGTTGGAATTGTGACTGTGATATGCAGACATCCAGCCAGGAATGGCTCATTTCTAAAGCTACAAATGATGACTCACTTCTAAATGTAGCTCATAGGCAGATGAGGACTCTCCTATATGGATTAGCCAATTGAAGAGATGTTGACTCTCATTTCTGGGATCAGAGCAACACGTACTTTCAAGGGTCCATACCATCACAAATGTCTTAGAGTGAATTGTGACTCACATGCATATTGCATAAAGTCCTCAGGTAATGCATTGAATGCCCTTACATGGCCCAGCACACAGGTGACATTGTGATACTGGTTTCCACACCCAGTCAACAGTAAATATGTCATCCTTTTAGAAGAATACAACCTACTTCTGAAGTTCTGAATCTCACCCCTGGAGGCAGTGGAAAGTTGCAAAATTGACTCCCATATGTGGATCTGGTCCACAGCTGGGCTGCTGACTCAGATCAAGATTCAGCACACCTGTGAGGCATGATTTTACTGAGAAGGCAGTCTGTAGGAGAGATTGAGGCTCTTTTTCATGAATTCATCCATATTGAGATTGTGTTTTGTGCACTTAGACCCAGCTTCCAAATGGTCTTGCCTCTCATACCTATAATGGGAATATGTGAGGAATTATTCATGTTATTCCTGAGCCTTTCTGCATGTGTGATTGTGACACACATCTCTGCTCAAAACCTAAGGGATTTGACTCCTGCCTGGGCCTAGCACACAGATAGGATTGGGACATATTGTTGGAACCAGTATGTAGATGATGTGACCCTATACTCTTGTCTTGTTCCTGCCA